TAGGTATCAATCTTTGAATTTAAAACACGTTCCAGAACATAGCATACAAATCTACGAATTCAGGTGAAATCAATGGCTTTTGCTCAGTTATCTCTCCAAATTCATATTTTGTTTCTCCTAGCATACAGATCTCATAAAAATCAATCTCTGAAGTAGTTTAATTGAGTTTAAAAAAACAATTTTTAAATTGTTTATATTAAAAGTGAGACACTTGAGACAATTAACTACTTTAAGAAAGTATTTCTTAGTTTTTTTCTTTTTTAATGGTAGTACACAATGTATGGTGCATACTATATATTTACTTTATATAAACATTAGACATGTTATAAAAGAAAAGTCATAATTGAAAGGGTGACAAGGATTGCAGTCATTGATACGCTTGATTATAAATTAGTTATTAATATTCATTGTAAGATGTTTTACCGAAATAAATTAATTGATGTTTTTTGTCAATTAAAATGTTGTTAATTATTTGGTATTTTTATTTATTATAAGACTGTAATATTTTTTATTAGCATTATATACAACTAAACATTATCCTGTAGTTTAGGTAGAATATTCCCTTTTTGTTTAAGCTTATTAAATAACAGCTGTATTATAAGAATCTCATTATTTTGAATTACATGTTCAAAAGCATGGAATAATAAACATTTTGTAATAATGTATTAGAAGCAAGATCTTAATTATATTTGGATTACATATATGATATGATGACTGCATGGATTTCAAAAAATGTAAGGTATGCTTAGTATGTATTACATATTCAGATATTTATGAGATCTGTCTGCCTAAATTGGAAGAACGATGGTGACTGAATGAATTGGCATGAATGTAATAAAAAAAATCAAACTGGAACATGAAAGTAATTTTAATATTATCTTAGGATGTCAAAATTTCATGTTGATGCTTTTCAGCATGTCAGCATGACATACATAAAATAAATGGTAAATGCAGATTAATTGTTCCACCTAAGGAGAATATTATTGGGAAGGATTTTCTCACTCAATGTACAAGTCAGTTAGTTTGTCTAGTGACTATTTTGGTATATTTAATATAACTAAATTCTTAGTCACAAGAATATACTAAGTGAAGAAAGCCTTACCTCGTGAAATTCCCACAAGTGGCACAATTTTAATGAGCAGAGAGAACAAAAAACCTTTTATGGATATTCATAATAGAACAAGAAATTTGATACAAGTTGGCTGTTTATAAAATTCATAATGCAATGTTGATGAAATATTGAATCTGTTATAGACATAAAATGTTATAATGGTTTATTACAGTAATTAGGCTAATTTAAACTGATGACTTTATCCAATAAGTTATTGAACACTAAGGATAATTAATTTTGAATCTCCTTTTAAAAGTGACTCCTTTAATAATTATTTAAAAAATTTTATTGTTACCAAAATAGTAAAATTTGTCTACTATTTAGAGCTTAGATTTAGCCATTACTTAGAATGTAGAGTAAAAATATATATTACTCCAAGATAGAATATCTCAGTACTGTGTGTAACTTGTATTAAAAAGAAAACTTTATATTAAAATGTTTTTATTGTAACGATTAATACATTTCTGTTATTTTTTATTTTATGTAACAAGATATTATTGAAAAGTAGCAAGTTTATTATTCAATATCATTTTTCAATAGCAAATAGTTGTTAAATTATTTTCTATAAGTATTTTATTAACATTCATTTCAATGTTAATTTTAGAGAAATATTTCCTGGAATATAAATCTATAAATCTGGAAAATGTAATATACAAACTGACACATCTTATTTGAGCAATGATTGTAATATTTTTGTGTAATACACATTTGAAAACAAATAATTGTCTTTTTTGTAAAATATATTCTCTTCCAAATTTGTATTTTAATAAGTAAGGTAAAATAATACTAACAATTTAAATGTATCATGTTAAATATTTAAAAGTAGAATTTTAAATAAATCTGTATATGTTTAATAAAAATAACATTTACATTACATCAATTGCATTTGTTGCCAAAAACAGTTTAAAGCTTCTTTTAAACTTGTGCCTACTGTAATCACTTTAATATTAAAGGAAATACAAAAATATCAATTTACCATTACAAAATTAAGAGTAAGAAATGTGTAGATTCTTGTTGTATTGTAAATTGATTAAATATTAAATACAATACATCTGTTAAAATAATTATATAGTATTTTCAATATAACATAAAACGAAACTATAAATAAATTGTGAAATGTATAAAATTGTTACAATTGATGTCAGTGTTTAAACTTTCCAGTACTTGAATTAAAATTTAATAAAACTTCTTTCAGAAACGAAATAGATTATTTCAATGAATTATAATTTATTCTGGAAGATTTTGGTATTGGAATGAAATGTACTAAAAATGTAAGATACAATAAAGAAATTCCTTTATCAAACTGTATAAAGTTTTTTCTTTATACACATATGTCATCATTTAATTAAAATTTTTAATACCCAAAACTAATAAACTAAAAGTATAGCACAATAAAGTTGTTTTAGCAAAAACTTGCAGTACTACCAAATAATGACTGATCGCCAACATCGCCAATTATTATGGGTGATTTCTCCTTATTTTTTTTTCTAGATATTGCTTTTGAAGATCTAGTTAAACGTTTAGTTCTTATAACTGTGCGACGTCTTTGATTGCCAGTCATATTCTTCGATTTTTTATTTTTATCATTTGTATTTTATTAAAATATGCAGATGTAGCTTTATGTAATATAGCTTCAAATCCTAAAAATTTAGTATCAAAATTAACTTTAGCTTTTATTACATCCATGAATGAATTTTGAACTGTTAATGTATTATTAATATAATCTTGAGTTTCTTTTCCTTCTAAATGTCCGTGGTTCACTGAAGAAGACTGCATTGGTTCTGTATTAGTACTACTTAATATTTTGCAATTTTCTTTTATGTTACAACATTGATTTTGTACATCAAATGCTTCTTTGACTTTTGAAGTAGATATTTTACGGCATAAAAGATCTAATTGTAAATTATTTCAATAATTCAGTTTTAATAATATAGTACTATTGTTGTTACTACAAATTCTTATATTTAATTTACTTGCCAATGAAATTTTTTAAATATTCTGAAAAAATTTTATTACAAGAAAGTAAATGTTGAAAGGCTTCATCAAGATTTTTCTCTGTAAAATATGTTCGTGCTAATAGGGATTGTTCAGATACAGTTCTTCCAATGACTTTAGAATTAAAAACTTTCCATTGCTTATGCGAAATTTCTGCTTGCCATTCTAAAGCACAATCTTCCAATCTTCTATCAATTGACTTTAATAATTCATTTGCTTCTATTAACTGTTGGGGAACATAGAAGTTTGTTTCACTGGAAGGAGGACAAACACTTTTTTCAATTATAGACTTATCATCAATTGTTGTCATTTCTAATTTTACTTTTAGTTAGACAAATATATTTCTTAAACATTGGTTAAATCTGTTTACAGGGTTTGTATAAGAACTGCAAAAGGT